AAGAAGTGTTGATTTCAATTGCGGCGCGTAAAACAAGCGCGAAATTGCGGCTCGACTTAGTTCATTGAAAACCGAATCGGGCGACATACATACACATACTTGTATGTATATACGAGTATAGTACGAGACCAGTACTACGAGTAGTAGACGTGAGCACAAAGAGGTGTCAAAATAACCTTGCGGTTCGCCGACTTTTCAGAGTTTGCTGAGTTTGCTGATGGTCGATGGGGCACTGATGGGGACTGTCGACAGACGCATTTAAATGTTTTAGTTTAAATTTAAACATGCGCATTAAAATAAATTACCATAAAATGTGGAAACGTGCCCGCTGGAGACCTGACTATGGCTTTCAATAGCAAAGTTAGTGCGTGTCTCCAAATGGTTTTGGGGCCCCAGTCGGTCCGACAGAGATATGCGCGGAAAAGATGAAATTATGACATTGCTGATGACAACAAAGTACAAAACAACAACAACAACAACGACAACGGAATATCCTGGCAAGTTGTAAAGCGTGCTCCCAACTGAATAGGCAGGCAGGCCTGAGAATGGGTTTGCGACCGGGCCAGGCAAAAAATCAGGAAAACGGGCCGCCCCAAAAAATTTACGAGCCCGTGACGCATCAAGGTCTATGAGATATGGTTATGGTTAATGTGTTTATGTTGTCAACCGAAACTGAAACAGAAACAGAAACTGAAACCGAAACTGAAAACTCCCGAACAACTGAATGACTGACAGACTGACTGACAGACTGAATGAATGACAGACTGACTGGTGAGATGGCTTATTGTTGGCCTAGGATGGTTGACAGTCAGATATACATAAGTACTATATACGAAGTAAACGGATAATCAGCGCATGTGGAGCCTACAGCTCATTACACACACACACACAGAAACGCACACACACACACACACACACACACACGCACACACGAACGCGAAAGGACATGCTGGATATGCAAATAGAACAGTGCCTTCCCATATGACAGTTTTATGTTAAGGAAACAATCATAAAGCAGCCCTAGCTGTGACTTTATTTATTTGCCAGCGACACGAGGAGTGCTTGCCACAGCTACTCCCGTTGTTGTTGTTGTTGCTCTTGTTGTTGGGGGGTTTTATTTGTTGTTGTTGTTGCTGCTGTCACTGCTCCGACAGTCATTTCATCAGAGCTCATTCATATTTTTGCGGCTCATGTGCTGATTTGCAGTCTAGATTAAAACTGTAGCCCCCTTGTCAGCTATCGCTGTGAATTTTAAAGCTGCGTTTCGGAAAATGAAGTTTTCACTTTCTCGTGACTCTCTCGTGAGTCGTGCCTTGTCTGGTAATTGCCTGAAAAACGCCGGACGTGCGCTTAATTTGGTTTCGCATTTTCAGCTACTTCTTGAATTTGGTTTATGCTAAAGTTTTTCTATTTTTTTTTTTTTTGTTTTTGTACATTTGTTGCTGTCTGTTCAGCAAATGTCTTAATTTATTATGCAAATTTAATAATAACATTTTAATGTGTGCTTTTTATAGCACGCACGCACAGACTGGGGCAGGGACAGAGGCAGGGGCAGGGGCAGCGGTAGCCGCACCTTTCTTCCGGCCACAGTTGGCTGGCATTTTGGCTTTGACAATTGGTCATACCTACACACATACATACATACATACATATAGTACATGTTCGTCTGTCTGTTTGTTTGTATGCGCCACGCATTTGGCTTTTTCTCTGCTAATGCCTTATGGCAGGCAGCGTTGTCGCAGCACGTGCGTTAAAAATTATAATGTCGTCTGTCGGGCCTATGGTGTATGGTCTAGGGCCAAACATGATTGTTGTGGCAACCATAATTAAACGCCAAATATGTTGCATGTTAATTCCTGCTGAAAGCTACAAATGGTTAGACCTATTGTTGCCATTGTTTTCGTTGTTGTTTTCTGTGGCCCGAGCTTAGTCCAACTTGTCGATACGAGTATTGGCGCTAAGATTGTATAATTGTCCCTCCACTTTTGGGCCGTGACATTTTTGGTGCTTCGTCTCTTAACGATGGAAAGTGTAAGTGGGCAGCAGAAACGTACCAAAGCCATAAACTATAGGGTATGTAGTGCAAAGGTTTGAACAAAGCCCTCGGCCATGCTTAACGTGGCCTACAAGTATTAGGTTGGCACACGCCTAACTGCCCAGGCATTGAGATGGCAGATTGCAAGTAGTTTTTATACAGCCGCTAGCCAAATAAAAGCAGATAATTCCTCAATTGCTGTTCGTAATGGCAGCCCTAGCAGAAGTCCATGCCCCTGCAAGAGGAATACCTTTAATATTCACAAAAGTTCAAGCAGTAATTGCCTTCATTTAGGTATAATTCATTTTAATCGCGATTTTCATTAAGAGAAACTCACACTAACCTATTGTGTGCTGAGCCTTTGCAGACTACAAACAGGAATAAATTCACATTAACATAAATAAGGTGGTCCAAATAGTGGTTTCTCTTTAAAAAATTCAAATGTAAAAATCAACAATTTTTCGGTATATACTATGTATTATTGGTTTGTTCGAAAGAGTATTATTTATGGAACACAATTTCATTCATGTAACCCAGTTTTCCAATATCTTGTTGATGGTTTCTGGTTCTATCTCACAAAGAGCTTGCTTACTGTTGGTCTTAAGGGTTTGAATCATTAATGCATTTTTCGCATGACATAGGTCCTTCACAGAAACATTACCGAAAGGCTCGCCATTCTGCTGAAACGAAGATAGCCTAAGCCCTCTATCTAGCGGGAAGGAGCTGTCACACCAAAATACTTCTAACCTTTTTATTTGTCAAAAACAAACTAAACATAGCATATATGTATGTACCTGAAACATTGAACATATGTATGTTCGGGCCATGTGTACGAACACAACAACAACAAAAAATGTTTGATCGAATGAAAGCAAAATTGAAAAGTCACCTTACTTTTTGAACACACCACGTATACCCATCTAATATCCCAAGCGGTTGGCAGGTGTTGTGATAGGGGAAGGATCTTTTAATTGGTTTTTTCTTATGTTTTAAATATATACACATAAATCAAATATTGCTCTATTATTCTTCTTTTTGCTAGAAATGAAAATGTACAAATCTTTATTTAATTTAATAGCTGGAAATAACTTTTTGTAGATTTCAAATCTCTACTCCTATTTTCGCTCTATTTTTGTTTCGAGTTATATGCAATATTCTTTAATTTAATTCATTCTTAAATTTAAATCAGTCAGCAGGCATAAATAAAATGTAGAATAAAGACGATGTTCAGAGTATGCTCATAGGCGATTAATTTTTAAATGATATTTAGATTTAATGAGCCTTAAGCACATCAATGCGTAATTTTCAGACTTTCGAATTTTTATTTTGGTTTTTCAAAACATTGCCACATTACATCTATTTGACTTCCATAAACAAATAGAATTGCATTTTTTCGCACCCAGATATATGTTATATTTAGATATATTAAGCACAACAATGCGTATTTTTCTTACTTCCGCTTTTTTTTGCATCTACGACTCACACACACATTTCAGCTCCTCCTTAAATATTTAAACCGTTTGCACACCTGTTCCTACAAGTATTTCCCAATAATGTGTGGTAGTTCTGCGAAGTATGGGTATTTAGTTCCCTATTGTTTAGGTCTTTCCCGCAGCTGTTATGAACCAACGGATTATCGTTTTCATTGCCTCGAAGGCTGTAAAGGCAGAGGTTTTTGCCATAATTGTATGGCACTGTTTTAATTGTTTATACAGCTCGCGAGTCGAGTCATTATTTCGGTAATGGTCTGCACAGGAAACGCTTGACACTGATATACGAGTAGTGCAGAAATCGAATTCGAATTTTCCACTCCAAAAGATCTTGACGAAGTTCAATTGAATTTTAATGTGTGCACTGGCAGGGCTGGCCACAATTTCTCTTGCTTCACACGAATTCATTAATAATTTCCGCAGAGCCCAACGGTCACTTAATCTTATCAAATGGCGCCTACTATATAGTATACTATATATGTATGTATGTAGTATTTATGTGTGTTGGATTGTTTCAATTACTCATGCTATTGCGAAATGGAAATGGGATATACGAGTATACGAGCAGTACTAAACAATAGTTATTGCTATTGATTCAAGCAATAACCCCGAGAAATTCCATGTTGCTGGGGAAATACTTTCATTCGGCTATCAGTATATGGCATTTGAGCAATTCGAGCATAGGATTGCTCAATACTATACTACTTGTATATACACCGAACAAATGAAAACAAACAATTGCAGAGCAGAGCTCTATTAATAAGTGCGTGTGTGGCCAAAGGGCGACAAAATCGATTTGTTTGCAATACGAATGTAGAGACAAAGCATTAGATAATGTCGGTTTGAAGCTGATAAGGGCGGTGAGTGTGATTGTGCCCAGTCGATGGCATTATCAGCAGTTGATATCGGAAGCGCGACTACATCGATGCAATGGCGTTGACAACTGCGACATGTTCAGATAGCATCGACTATATAACACATACTCTCAGTATATTCACTGACAGGGAGCGCGTATTTTTGGCGCCTCAGGGTGCACAACAACAATAACAACAACAAGAATAACAACAGCAGCAGCAGCAACAGCAATCATTGAGCAATTGACAAGTTCATTTAGAAAGGCTGCCCATGCATATACGAGTGTATATAGTGTAGAACAAGAGATACATTGGTGAGCTTCCCCTTGAATTTGAATTTAAATTTGTTTGTTGTTATTGTTGTTGTCTGCTGCTCTCCCACCGATAATATTGTCAAATTAACATACAAGTATTAGCAGCAAAGAGTGAGCACATAATTATATGTAAATGAGCTCGTCGCCTGTGCTTGCCCGCCCATTTGTCTCCGTTTCTCTTATCAAAGTCAGACTGGCTGGCAAAGGGTAAAGCCATTAAGACACGCGTCTGTTATACATACATACATATATGTAAGTATTTATGTACACACATATGTGTGTGTCGTTGAACCTGCAGGGAACTTACATTTTTATTAGGCAATGCCTTTAGGCGTCCGATCTGTAAACACCGTGGTCGACAGTAGCCGCAAACATTCACACAACTCAGAACTTCTTACAACACTCTTCTTTCTTGCTATCTTCTTCTTGCACTTTTTTCACAATTTTCAACTTCCAGTTCGAATTGCAACTGAACTGAAGAAGACGACGCTGACGCTGGCGCTGGCGCTTCGATCGCCGCGGCGACTGCGAAAGCGACGGCAGCAGGTGTGTTTGTGTCTCGCTATTTTGTTTATTTGTGTGCCTTCTGCGGCAACGGACGGCAGCTGTCAGCGCGATGCGGACGCTGACGCGGACGCGGCATTTGCAGGAGATGCAACAACAGGCAGCTAAATTATAATTGCCAGCCAGCTAGTGTATATTTATTTGTGTGTGCAAAAATTGTTGTTGCACTCACATACTATTACACACATTAACATTAGCACTCACTCACGCACGCACGCACAGGAAGAAAGAATAACCTGCGATAAGTTCCTACTCCGCTTGAACAACCGCACGCAGCGAAAACTCTTTAGATACTGACAAACAGACTGAATGCATGATACTTTCGTGCTTACAGCGCTCTAACAGCGCATTAACAGCGGCCTAACAGGGCTATGCGCGGCGAATACGAACAGCTGTTGTTTGTGAATCGAAATTGAATTGAAAGTTGAAGCTGTTGCCGGCTTTTTGCTGGTTGAATGCACGAGTCAGCGTCAGCGTGAAAACTGGTGGCGGTGGTTGATGGTGGCCGCCGTATAAGAGTCATTGACGTGCATATAAGACGGCGCTTACTCTACACTCGAGTATAAGTTGTAAATCGCTTGTGTTGGCCCCCTTGGGCAGTTAAAAATCGCATAGTTTTAGCATTTTCGTAAAGATTTCATGTTTCAATGGTGAGGGCTTCGGACTGGCCGATTGTCCATAAAATAAGTTACAATTCCGCGATTGTCTTCATTAAATATATAGGCGCCCTTTTATTGCTCTTAAAAATTTTGTTATTGCTCTTTGGAACATACATAAAAAAGCTATGAGTCCAGATAGTTTTACAAAACTCAGATTTATATTAGTTTAATTACGATTTGTGCTGAGGGCTTAGTTGTTGTTAAGCACAATCAAAACATTAATAGTTTGTGAGAGGTTTATGGATTTAATTAGTTATTCAGGATTTAAACATAATTATAAAATAAAAATCTATATAAAATACAATACAATTGGAAATTGGCTTCAAATAATTTAAGAATAAAACAAAAAATATGTATTTAAATAAATATGTATTTTAACTCCTGGTGTGTAAAAAAAATATAGCAACATTAGAAACAGTATAAAGGATTAGTTGAAAATATAAAAATGCCCATAATGTGATTGAATCTTTTGAAAATACCGTTTTTTAGAATAATCGGAAGACCTGCTTAAATGTTTGTATATTGCTAATTAATTATAAACTTAAGATGCGTACATTTCTAAAATAATTAAAAAGTATTTTTGAACCTACCCAAGGATTTATTATCGCGCTCTTGATTTTAATAAAGTAAAGGACAATTTGAATTTTCTGTTGGCGACGGCGATAAAAATTGACATTATGTTTGTGACGTATGTGGGCAAAAAATATAAACATCGAAGAACAAAAAAAAATTATTTTTTGAGTTTGAAAAATATACAAAATTTGTGATTTTTAAAGATGCATGAATTTACAAAGAAAATTGGCATAAATCTTCTGTGAAATTAATTGATATGGAATTAAAGATCTCGAAAACATTTTAAATGATTATTTGGAATAAAAGATCTCAAAAACTTTAATTCATCGCATTTAATTCTGACAATTCAGCCTAGTTCTTCCTTAGTTTCTCACAAGTTAACCGAGAACCAAAATTTGGGCTCATCAATCGACACTTGTGAATGATTTTTTGAAAAAAAAAATAAGAAGCAAGCTAACAAAAAACCCACCATATATACGTTTTCAGAAAAATGCTTTTCCAATGGAAGAAAAGCGTTATGTCGGCTGAAGGCCATTCCGGCCATCGAGCTTGTTGGATAGATAGACATGCTTTAAACCGTGTAATTACTTTATGGGGTCCGGAATATTTTGAATGAAATAATTTTAAATTTTGGTTTATTTTTCTTATTCTTAAAACTGACTGCACTAATCCACTCTAAAATCGTTTATAATTTACGAAAACTTTGTTCTCCAGAGAAGAGCGATTTTCAAGTTTGTAGGTCCAGTGTGTCATTTCTGCAGAAAATCATTCTAATATTTAATCTCTGTAAAGGAAGAAATCATGTCATATGTAAGTGTTCTAAGAATTATTTTTAATGGGTCTGTAATTCAACATACACACCTGGACAGAATAATGGATCTGAGCAAATTATTTTTTCAAAAAAGCTTGCCTTTCATATATATTTGATTTTTTCTTAAAAAATATGTTAGTTTTCAACATAAACATACTTTAACATCAAAACAAATAAAAACGCTTTACAAACTATTAAAAATTACTTAGCGTTTAGTTAATTTTTAAAAAACAAATATTTTCGGCTGGACAGAATAATAGCGGTGCCAAACAAAATGTATAGAAAAAAATGGAAATTTTGTTATTTATGGTACCGTATTCTACTGAACTGATTAGAGCGCACGTAATGCCCTGAATATCCGCCAATATTTTTAATGATCTATTCTAGCTTTAGATACCAATTTCTAACAAATCTTTACGGGAATATTATACCAAACTTTTTGAATACCAAATTGAATTGAATAACACCTACAAATTCAAATAAAAGTTTCGCAAATTTCAAACCAGACACACACCTATTAGTCAAGGGCGTACGCAGCTTTTAACAAAAGAAGGGGGCCAAAAATGTTAAATTTTGATTAAATAAAGCACGATGCATTTAAATAATAATTTATGAATGTGATCAATGAAAAAAGTTCAACAAATCCAACTCAGTTCCATTTTAAGGGTAAATAGTGCATCATTAATAATTAACGAGTGTTTGGCTTTATATGCCCCCCCCCCCCCCCCACCTTTCTAACGCCCTTGCTATTATGCTTCCCAGGTATATACATATGTACATGTTTCAGGGGTAAAAATATATGGTCTTTGCTAAGAGACGTGAGGTTCCTGAACAATGGTGTTTACATAAATTTTAAACTTTCCTTCCAGTAGTTAGGTTTTGTAATAATTACTTATATGAGATTAAAGCGAACTGTAAATATTCATAACTTCATTTATTTCAAATATTTCTCTATCGAGCAGCCTCCTTCCTCCTCTCATCTGCTGCTCCTGCTGTCCGTAATCAAATCATGTTTAGCCGAAACTTGTTTAAATTTCACAAAAACTCCACGCTCAAATGCACATCATCGGTTGTTAAAAAACGACAACAACGCCGCCGGAGTGCTGGAGAGGCTTTTGCATTGTTGTAAACAATCCATCATTATCGCATGGACTTCCGCCCGAAGGAAACGCAGCGCCAAAAGGAAGCGAGGGAGTGCCAACATTGCATTACAATTTGTGGTGTCTGGGCTGTTGGTCTGGGACCGCGTCTGGGCTTTGGTCATATGCCGGCGCTCATTTTTCCTCACACACACACACACACACACACACACACACACACACACACACACACACACACACACACACACACTCACACACACACGCGCACAAGGACACAAATCGCTACGTGGCGCACGTGTCTGGCTCCGTTTGTTGGGGATTACGGCCCGACACTGCGGGCCGCGGCGAAACCGAAAGTGAGTCGCGTGAGTGTGTAAGGATACACAAGCAGTCAGACAGGACGACAGGACGAGAGGAGGACAGGACGACAGGCCGACTGGGGCTGACTGGCAGCCAGCAAGGCACTCAGTCAGTTGGTCGTTGGGAAAAGCATTTTACCCATGAAAGTTGCATTCGCCAGCAGTTTCCCCGTTTCACTTTATTTTGGGGTTGCAATGGGCCGGACGGACAGCCCCCCAGTTTAACTTTTCGCTATGGCGGTTTTGTGGTCTATGCAAATTAGCAAAGTTAACATTTACGAAATTGTTGCTGCCTCTATTTGTGCTTAAATATTTGTTTGCCCAATCTTGTCTGCGCCAGGCCCAAGCAGCCCCAACATCGCAGTAATCGGGAAGCTGTTAAGGGAATATGGGAAATACATATTATAAGGGATCAGGCATATTAGATGACGAGAAACCAGCTCAAATCTAACGCACTTCGCTTTTGAATACATACAACAAGAAATTCGGGTGAATTGAAATTATTTCATACAAGTTTTTGAATTCTTATTGGTCCTTAATATTTGAACAAACAAAAACTGGATTTGGTTTCTAATTAGAACACAGTATCTGAAGATTTCAGAATTTTCAATAATATATTATCTCTTAATTTAATGTTATTCAAATGTTGATTCATTTAAGACCTGGTTCCATAATATTTTAACAAACAACAACTGCATTTGGTTTCAAATTAGAAGACAATATCTGAAGATATTAGTATTTTCAATAATATATTATCTCTTAATTTAATTTTATTCAAATGTTGATTCATTTAAGACCTGGTTCCATAATATTTTAACAAACACAAACTGCATTTGGTTTCAAATTAGAAGACAATATCTGAAGATTTCAATATTTTCAATAATATATTATCTCTTAATTTAATTTTATTCAAATGTTGATTCATTTAAGACCTGGTTCCATAATATTTTAACAAACAAAAACTGCATTTGGTTTCAAATTAGAAAAAAATATCTGAGGATTTCAGTATTTTCAATAATATATTATCTCTTAATTTAATTTTATTCAAATGTTGATTCATTTAAGACCTGGTTCCATAATATTTTAACAAACAAAAACTGCATTTGGTTTAAAATTAGAAGACAATATCTGAAGATTACAGAATTTTCAATAATATATTATCTCTTAATTTAATTTTATTCAAATGTTGATTCATTTAAGACCTGGTTCCATAATATTTTAACAAACAAAAACTGCATTTGGTTTCTAATTAGAACACCGTATCTGAAGATTTCAGAATTTTCAATAATATATTATCTCTTAATTTAATTTTATTCAAATGTTGATTCATCTTAGACTTGGTGTTGTTTAGACTTGGTTCCATAC